TAGGGTAATTGGAAAGATGTATTTAATATTCAAAGTAATCCAACACAAAATAAACACATTTTATGTCTTATATAATGAACTTGCGTGAGAATTTAATATACTTTTCAGAGGGGAAAAACTGGAAATATAAGGAGTACTAGTCTTATTTTTGATATCTTTTCAATTTAAGCTCTTCGATAACGATATTCATAAAATAAAAGATTGATTCAATGGGATAAAGGAGAATATAAAACCTAGCTATAGCTATAAAGCGGCAAAAATTAGGACATTCCTAGTAAAACAAATGATTAGAAGGGTGGTACAGGTAAAGCAAGCAAATGATTACTTATTTAGGAGTAAATGAAAGAGGAAAACGAAGAAATGGAAGCGAATATTTAATCTGTAGCAGGATCTAAGGTCAATAGTTGGGGAATTAGAGCAAATGGGAACCTATAGTATTAGAGGCCGAATCAAAATTATTTACATACTTGATGAGATAATAAAATATGGCTTTTAGTTTTGTCAATAGGATGCTGAGATCGATTCACAATTTGCACATTAGGCTTAAATGCAAATGCAACAAAACAAGACTAAACATTAGAATAGTCACTAAAATACGTTGTATGCTTGGTAAATAAGGTGGATGTTACGTTTAATTACCAATACAATTACCATGAATGCAATGTACTATTCAGATGGAAAAACGTCTCTTTGGCGTGGCCTACCTGCTCAACTCGCCGCGAGTAATAACACTTAGCGCTCACAAAACGAGAATATAATCCAAGGCCAAAACTGTACCAAAATGAGCCTAAATTTAGAGACCGGGTAGTATCAGACATGACAACTCTTAAATAGATCAATGGAAAAAAATAGGAATAATAGAAGCAGGTTCGTCTTTAAATCTTAATGGACGATTATGCTAAAGAGGTAAGAGGAGATAATTACTTAAAAAAATTTATGAAAACGCATAAGACGTAAGGATAGACTCCACAAAGAGTTTATCAAGCTGTTGTTAGAATAAATCGACTTGCAATAGGCAAGACAAAATGCCTGCAGTATAAGTGCACAAGACATGAATCCAGACCTGGCATCATATAGGGGATATGCGACCGGAAGGGTGCTAGCGGTCTCTTAGTTTATATTTCAATTTGTTTCATTTTTCTTGCCCACCCTTGAATTTCTGAAGACGTTGACCTATGATTATGCCTTAATGGATTTTTAAAAGACGGTTCAAATGATTGAATACGATTATGCCGTTACAATTAGCTTCAGACTGAGCATCAAGAGAGAGTAAAATCAATATCCCAAATATAATTTTATAATTAAAATTGTAATGCCCCTAAAGTCTTGAATACTGGCCACGCCAAAAGTAAGGGAATAAGTGCAAAACAGATCAATTCGCCCTTACGAGGTACGTGGAAATACTTATTTATATTTCAAAAGATTTGTGGATTTATATGCGTTAAAAGAAATGTAGTCGCATTAGACATGCGAATAGAACATTGCTATCCCACTAACTGGCCTAAAATCTAAATATAGTCTTTAAAATTTGTTGCAAAGATTTAAACTTTTTAATTAGTGTCCCTAAAGCATCCTGAAGAGCAAGTAAGCTTTAAATATAAATAATAAAGGGTCAATTTCTTTAAAGCCTATATTTCATAATGTTATCTTTATTCGGAAATGAGAACCTCATGGAAGTAGCCTAAGTGTAGACTAAGTGTCAATATGAGTGTGGCAATAAAATAATGCTGAGTGGAAATTGTATCGTCCAAAGTAGGAATTTGAAATCCATGTTATTCCATAAAGCCAAGCCCTACCTGCTTTTTTAACTCCCAATCCCTCGGTTCAGCGTCCGTCATGTAAGATGCTAGAAGCTCAAGGCCATTATATTGGCGAAACAGCTTAAGTTGGGCCTCCGCTCCCCGTGAAGCAGCCAGCAAGTTTAACAGAGAGAGTCTAGTAAACCGAGTCAGGCATTCTTGCACAAGAACCTGAAGGAGAAGAGTCACATCATCCGCAGTCCGCAGACAAGACAAATGCAGAAGCTGACTGACACGCCGTTCAACCTGGTAAAGGAAAGGCAAGTTGAGAGAGATGGAAACCGAATTCAGAGCAAAGGTAGGATAAATTGAAGAGTAAAAAACATTTATATTGAAGTATGAATTGTGAACGCCATAGCTTAAACAATAGATAAATTAGAAGTTGCTTAACCTTGTTTTCGCAACTTGGTCATATTGGTAGGAAGACTTAGAGAAACGCACCTTGTCCGAAGTCCAGTGTATGCATAATTATTTCCAAAGTCGGATCGTGGACGTGGTACATTCCCGGATTTTTCACCGGCATAGTAGTTGATATCGTCAGTGAGTTTTACCATTCGTAGTACCATATTACAACTCGTCAAATAGACAAGTGAAGCCGATCATTTGACCAAACGTGTGCTAAACTGTTATGGTATCTCCCCTTCTGCCCTGACCGATTCACATTTCCTATATCCTCCAATCACGCCTTCACTGTCACAATATTTTACTTGCTTAATTAAATGTGATACGGTGTGCGCTTTTGATAGGCTGTCATGAGAACCCTCCGCACTCCATGCTGGCCTTCTCACCGCCCTTCATCCTTTTGCTGGGAATGTTGATCAGTCTGCCATATTGTTTCGCAGTCCTCCTTCGCTATGTCTTACCACAGTCTCTCTCTTGCCCCGTAAGATCCGTCCGCCCTCTTCCTGGTTCACATATTTCACTTGACACCTGCCACCCCATCTGTGCCACCCGAGGCGGTATTGGCCTTCTCCTGCGTCTGGGTGACTAATTCGAGGCTCAAGCCTCTAAGTAAGTCTCATGGTCAGGCCTTTGCCACATGGACCACATCTCTTATAAAAACTACTGTCAGCCCACAAGCTCCCATCGCCGCCGCGTCTATCCTGTTTCTATCTCTAACACCAAGTCTATGACTTCCCATGCCCTAGTCTCTTGTGCGCCAACCCACAAATGTTGTGGTATTGCTTGCATTGGTTAGGTTCAATGTTGAACCACAATGTTTGTGGGTCGGCACATAAGAGACTAGGGCATAGTAAGTCATAGACTTGGTATCATAGGTAGAAAGAGGATAGAAACAGTGGAAGCTATAGCTGATTGGCTAACAATAATCGTGATTTAAGGATCACTTCTATGACCAAACACGACTAATTTTAGCCAAATAGCTTTAGTCTCCACCACGTCTTTCCTATTTCTATCTGTGATACCATGTCCATCACTTCCTACGTCCTAGTATCTTGTGTGCCAACCCACAAATGTTGTCGTTCTACTTGTTTTGATTAGGCTCACTAAAGACGTCTCCTCTTTGCTTCTGATTGTTCTTGTCTCATCCTCCTGCGATCTATGTTCATAAAATTAAGAATATTATCTTGATCTGGTCGTCTTTTTTTTTGCTGATCTTGCTGTTGCCTGGTCTTCTCTGAGTTTGTTTAGGCAATATGCAAAGTTTTCGCTGAT